CAGAAGGCAAAATTAATGGAACAGTTTAAAGTTAAAAGCTCTTTAGGTTTGTCTAAAACCCAGTGCAAATGGGGTCCCCAACAGTGACTGTGGCCATGAATGTTACTCTTCTAGGAAAAGAGCAGCAACAGCTTTATCTAGTAACACAACCGGAGACGCATTTAAGAAGGGAGCTACACTCAATCATCTACAGAGAGTCCAAGGGTACAACTCTGATCAAGGGGGTTGTTTAGCATGCACTATGAGAGAATAACCTAAAATACACAGCTCTCCTAGTTTTGGTAGAAGTTAGTACAGGAAGAGATACAAAAATTGAGCAAGTTTCCTAGTCTTGAAATGTATTTGGTTCTTCTATAAAATGTGTTGTTAAACAATTACGTTTCATAAACTCCCTTGGGGCAAGCATTAACCCATTTTAGAGGCAGGGAAGCACAGGCAGGATAAACACCTGGGGTCAGAAGGTGCATCAGTGGTGAAACCATGATTAAAATCCAGATGTCTCTCTTTTTCTCCTTTAACTACTAGACAACTGTCTTCCCTTTCGCTTCTCTGCTCTTGATAGTCCAAGTTAATTTTCTTTTTTTGGAAGTTTCCATGGATGATAAGCTTTAAACTTAAATTGTAATTAAAACATTAACTACTGCTCAAATTGCCAATTCAATTTTGTGCTCTCAGATTAGTGCCATTATAGTGGGTAATGTTAGGGAGCAGACTGGTATTTAATCAATTTTAATCAATGTGAGGCATTAACCTGCTTTGGTATGCCAAAAAAAAAAAGCCTCCCAGCAAAACTGCAGCATTATTAAAAGGAAACCTGTTTCCTTGATGCCAGAGAAAGGAGTCTCTCTCACATACCAAATTACCTTGTCTTTGCAACAAGTTTATAAAAAAAAGTTTGAACCAACTCAAATGGTTCATTTCTTATTTTCTAACTGAAGGCTACTTTTATGCTTAAAACGCTTAGCTTCACTTGGACTACCAAGGACACTTAAAGTGAGTGGGACTTGTCCTGTACTTAGAGTTAAGCACATGCTTCAGTGCTCTGTTGAATCAGGGCTCTGAGAAATAGCTCTATTCTATAAAGAAAGTTTGTATAAATGGCATTTTCTTATTCCACAGGCCAATACCCTGAGTGTATTTAGAGTTGGTTCTGCTCACTTTAGTGACACAAATTGAGTTCTGCTATTTTTTGCTCTGGTAGCCCTGCTGAGCCTGCACAGCTATAGGAGAAAGATAGATTCTGTCTCCTGCTTTTGTATCACCAACGGAATTGTTATTTTAATTCCAGCTGCAGGACCACATTCTGCCCACCATAATAGCCATACAAACACCTGAGAGCAAAGTTATTAGCCAGCTCTGTCACAGAGGGTAAATTCCGTCTGAAGAATCTTAAATATTGGTGATAATGTGTAATCCTCATATGCCAAAATGAAAACATAATCCATTTTCTATTTCCTATAGAACCAAGTAAAATCAGGACAGCACAGGTGTCTTTTAGGTGTAAATTTGCTAGTCATCTTCAGAGTACCAGTATTAAATACTCTACTAAGCCTGAAAAATATTTTAGAAAATTTCTTAATTCTTATTAATTAAGAAATAAATATTGTGGGCCTCAAGCTGGCTACAAGCTAGCAAAAAACAGTAACACTAAGCCATGATGGTCCAAGAAATATGCAGGAAGCAAGAATTTTTGTGGATGATATCTTTTATTGGACCAGTTCCATGGTTGGGAGAGTTTCAGACAAACTTTTTGGGTATATGGCACCCTGTTCAGGGTCATATATCACTCACAAAAAGCCTTGCCTCTCCAGACACTATGCTATTTAAAAAACAAAATCAACATAAAAATTCAGTTAAAACTGAAAATGAGACAGGAAAATATAAAGAAATGTTTGGATGCTTATCTTGCTGGGGTCCTTTGACCCTAGCTGACTTCCTGCCCCTGGGGTGAGGGGCTGGGCTTGATGATCTTCAAGGTCCCTTCCAGCCCTAACATCTATGAATCTATAAGAATACCCTCATTTAGTAGAAGACAAGGGCACTCCCAATAACTTCCTTATAATTTTAAGTAATTTATCCTCACCAAGATTTTCAAAGATAGAAACTGAAATAGATGTAAGGTGGAATTTTCAAAAGTGCAAAAGAGTCAGATACCAACCTCCTAGAAAAATTAGTGAGATATTGATGCATCACTCTCCTTTTTTTAAAATACCATTTTAAGTCAATGGTAGACCCTTCTCTGGTTTTCAAAAGTGCAGGGAACCCAACACACTGCTGAAAATTAGTCAAGCCAGGTGCCTAAGCCATAATTTTAGACTTAATTTTGATAATTTTAGCCTTAAGCTCTGTGTCCCAGTCAATCCATCTGAGAAATTAAAATAACAACCTACTTCACAGATCTCCATCTAAAGTGTAAAATACAGAGTTGCCTGGATGAAAGACATTATAAAAGGGCAAAGCACAGAATTGTACACTACAGGAAGGTTACTTTGGAATATATCCCTTTCAATGCAAATAAATCAGTTGCCATGGTCCTTCCCTGGAGCTAAACCTCAGCTGGAGGAAGTTATTTGCTACTTTGCACACAGCTGGACTTGAAGCTTGAGAACTGCCCATCTGGAATTGATGCCACAAACACTTAGCTTCTTCCACTTCTCTGAATCAGTTAAAAGTGATATTAAACATTATATGATTTATCTTGTCATGTTTTAATTACATTCATCCTAGAGGCAACCTTGCCCTTAGCTGACACACGAATTTTAATACACTGCTTACTAAATATGGTGAGGGCACCATCTAAGTGAGTCATACTGGCTTCCCTCATTCAGGATCAAGCAGGCACTAGAAGAGATATATAAGAGGGCAATGCAGAGATATCTTTTACATTCTTACATAAGACTGTTATCACCAGGCTGAAATGGATATGCCCAACAGTGGACAGAAGACATAACCCTCTTAAAATAAACAGATAAATAAAAGGAGGCCAAACAGTAAACACTGTGGGATAATGTCCCTACAAGTCACAGATCCCTGATCATTATGAATGCTGTTAACTTACTATTATTAGGAAAGGAGGAGTCCATAAGAAATATACTTGCTTAGGCTGCAATCCTGTGAACATTTAGATGTGTGCTGAACATTAGGCAGTTGTCCCATGGGCTTAAAAACAAGCTAAGGAAACAAACTGTTGTGAACAGGCAAGTGCTCCACAATTCCACGAGTGAAACCTCAAAAGTATCCTTTAAAAAAACAAACAAAAAAAACCACCCCAAGAATTCAAATTAATAACATAACCAACAAACCTCCAGCTTATCAATTTTGGTGTAGATGTTGTTCATTTCCCTCACTTTGGCTTTAACGAGTGGAATGGACACATCCAGGATCTGGGATGTATCACTTCTAATCTGCACAAAAAACAAAATATTTCTCATCACTCATCAGAAAGCTTAATTGGGATAAATATATCTCCTACCTGAGCACTTCAAAACACAAGCAGCAATGAAGCAAATCTCAATGCAGCTTTGTGAAATAGCTTTTGTGATACAAATAGGAAAAATCAAGGCAGGTACATTGAGCAACTTTCTTAAGTTATTCAGCAGGGGTGTGCGAAACAGGCTGTATTTGATTCGGATTCAGATTTGGCCCGAATCAGGGACAGTGATTCGATTAATTGATTCGGATCACTGTCCCGATTCGATTCAGCCGAATCTGAATCTGAAGATTCGATGCTGATTCAGAGAATCAGCAATTTGGCCACAGACACAGCTTTAAATGTTCTTTCTACATACCTCAAGGTAGCAGGCATGGCTCGTGAACGCTGTGATGGTGGGGTGGATGGAGCATCCCACAGGACCATTGGGGGGGCGGGGGGGGCCACATGCGTGATGGCAAACCCAGAAGTGGACCGGAAGTACTTCTGGGTCTGTTGTTGAGCATGCTGGGGAGCCCCCTGCACTCCTGTGGGATGCTCTACCTGCCCCAACATTGCAACCTGGATTCAGAGATTCGGCCACTGAATCAGGCCGAATCTCTGCTGAATCCAATCAGGGACCGAAGCTTCACATAGCCCTATTATTCAGGGAATCCCAGAGATCCTGACTCTAAGCTCTCACTCCCCTCCCTGGATCTAGGCACTATATTGCAATTGCCACAATTCACAAATTCTTCCAGATCTCAAGATTATTTCTTCTGTCTCTTGTGCAACACTTTAAGAAAAAACAGGTCATGATAACTAAAAAATAAAAACTGTTTCCCTTCCATCCTCCTCACTTTTGGTTCTTATCAGATACAATAATTTCTATCAGCTTTTGATAAGGGTTTAAGTTTAGCCAACTAGCCTATAGCAATCAGCTGCCCTGGATTGTGAAAAAATATATCATTCTTAGCAGTTACCAAGTCTGATAACAAGGGCAAAAATGTTTACACTTCACTAACGCAATTTGATTTTTAGTGCAGACAAGAAACTTGAGCACAGTCAGAGAGACTGTCATCTTGGATTAGACCCGTGGTGCATCTAGTCCAGTATCTTGTCCATAGCTATGGCCAGCATCAGGTCCTTTGAAAGGCCAATAATCTCCATCATGCACAATTATCCCATACCTGCTCAGGGGATGAGTTCCTTCCTAACTCCTGTCAATTTTAGCTTCAACTTCTGCAACTTCTTGAAGCAGGATGGTGTTTTTTCCCCAGTTATGTTTTTGTTATTTGGAGCTACTCTTGATCTCCCTGTCTAATCCTCATTTGGAACTCCACTAAGCATCATTTTTAGCAGCAGCTGATTATTACTCTGTTTCTGTATAAACAGCCAGTGATTAGTTTGATGGGAATGAGACAGGCACTGTTCCTGTCCTCCCACTTTGGGACCATGAGTGCAATGGAAACATAAAATAAAAATGTGGATCAAGCAGGAGTTGGGAAACACTTTTCAAGGGGAGAAACTATTCCTCTTCTCTTTACTTTCTAAGGGTAGCGTGTGATGGCTTCCAACCAATATACAGTATATTAGAAAATAAATCACCAGTATTTTGCACTGCAGCAAATTACTTGTCCTATTATGCTAATTAAAGACCTGATCCTCTGACCTTACTCAAGAGCAGTCCTCCATTGTCATCAGGGGCAGCTTTGCCTGAGCAAACATTGTAGAACTGGGCCATTACAGCGTGGAGAACTATACAGGTGGCAGCATATTATTAAATGCATGATGGAAGTTTCATTTAAAGGTATCACTGCAGACCAACCCCATTCTCAGTGCTAACATGGGTTTTGTCATGAGAAAGATTGGGAGTCCTTCCAGAAAGAATGTAACCGGGAAGAAGCTGTAATTAGTGCTGCTCTGCTTCTGCTGTCTTTTCCCCTCCTAAATTGTTAATGTTGGGAAAAGCAGCAGAACAGAAGCAGCAAAGGAACTAAGGAGCGGAGGGAGCAACGGTTCTACAAAAACAGTTCGACACTGCTAGAAAGCCACTCATTCAAAAGGAAAATAACAGAGCCCTGTGGAAAAGCAGCGACCAGACCCTCTCCAAACTGGCTTAATTTGAGTGTAGTGGAAGAGAGGCCTGTTTTAAGAAAATATGGCAGATCAAGAGATTCTTGAGCCTTGATTTCAAGATAAAATTAAATTAAAAATCCCACTCAGCTAGACAATTTGATTTGATAAATCAACTGCAGTAGCACCCATGAACCAAAGAACAGAACAAGCAGATGTGCCTGTTTAATGTAAAAAATGTTATTGGGCCTAATGGGGGTAGAGTACACAGGAGGGCTTAGTCCAGCTGTGGGCTGTGGTAGTTCTGCCCACTGTTAAAATAACCTTCTTACCTTAGAGCTCAGATATTCATGCCTCTGAGGCCTTTTCCAGCACAGGTTTTGCCCTGGAGGAGGTTGAAGCCAGAGAACATTTTCTCTTGAAACTGAGTGGAGTGGCCTTGGGACATTTCAACTGGGATGATGTGGAAATGGAGCACTTTTGTAATGATTTAACTCCATCTATCCTAGGAGTTGTAAAATTATATTGGGATAAAGTGGTACAACTTTTGTGTGTAAGCAAGTTCTCCATTTTACAGGCAACTTCCATTTTTCTATTAGTACCAAGACTTCTGTTTGCATGGATAAGATCATTTCTGCATAAAGTGATCTTAGCACCGGGTCTGCACAAGGTGTGTGCACAGTTACATAACTGTATGTGTACGCACATTTAGGATAGAAACGTGTTGTGCACATTTTATCTGACCAAAAACCAGCCCCTGGTTTTGGAGTAGGATTCCCTCAAAATGAATTGGCTTATTTCCTAGATTCAAAAAAAATAATCTTTGTTAAATACAAAATATACAATGAAAAAATAAAATGAATGAGTCTGGGGGTTATTTTATTAGTGTTCTTTCTGGTCAGCAGCTGGCAGAACACTCCAGTACACAGTATGCACAAAGAAAGGACTAATGACAAATTTGGGGCAGGGGAAATAAATATTTAGCTTAAGTAGGATTGAAAATTGACCCTGAATATGCCTAAGATAAGGGGACATACTAAGTTTTTGCCGGTGATGATCTAAAAAGAGGCTGGGGAAAGACTAATCTTAACTTCTAGATAACTACAGTAAATACAAACACAGTTTGTAGATATAGCCAAAACAAGGAAGAAGTTATTCAGACTAAGTATACCACAACAAGGTCAAACTAGCCATGGAACAAATCTAAATGGTCTTGCTTTGAGGGCAAAAGCAAAGCACCATTACAAGATGCAGGAGAGAAGATTTTACAGCAAGCAGTCTGTGATAAAAGGAAATGATATGCAAATGTGAATCAAGAAGAGTCATTCTGCAGCAGTCTGCAGAACCACAGCAACAGAAGAGTTCAAGAGGAGTCAGCACATGACAAAGAAGGGAAGTGTCTCTCTTGGTGTAGTAACCTCTCACCAGCCAGAGAAAGCATGACTGGTCTGGAAACTCCACATAAGCAAACCAAATGAATTACCTCTTTCCACAATTTATTTTACTTTACCTTCTTGAAGATGTAACTGAATGCTAGACGATAGTACCAGTGCAGTTGCTCCATAGGAAAAAAAAAAAACTGTATTCCCAGGCTGTGCTATGTTGACTGAAAAGATAGAAAAGTGTGAACTTGCAAGTTGATGGAAAAAGTCTACCATGAAGAAAGAGAGCATGTGAAAACAGAGTACAAATGGAGACTTAAAGCACAAGGCTAGACATGGCATAAAGGTTGCAAGAAAGGCAGATGTGTAGATAAAGCAAAATCGTATGCTGGCATGTACCAAGGTATCTTGGCATGGAAGAATCTTCTGCATTAAGGTTAAAGCTTTAGAACCAAAGGCCTGCAGTGACGTTTGAGCAGCATTAGTTAAGTAAGAGCCATGATAAGAACAGATTCTTAAACCCAGAGCCCATGCTAGAGTTAAAGCGAGACACAGATTTTGCTATATTAATATTTATTTAAAATTAATATTTAATACATTAAATTGTTGTGTTAACAACAGAATCAATACATGATTGCAATAACAAATCCAAGTGAGAGATTGTATCCAAAATCTGGTTGTTCCAGAGACTAATTTATTTGTCTGACATTAAAAGACATAAGCTCCCATTTCTTATGGGGCTATAACAAGGTCCCCAATTATCTAGGCTTTTAAAGTTAAGAACACACATATGACCAACCTGCCCAACAGTACTCTAGACAGAACTTAACCCTACCTCCAACTATAGGCTCAAAATCTCAGAGTTACACACCCAAAATTGCACACCTGATCTGCATTCATAGTGATCATGTAATTGCAGACAATGAGGCAAAACCAACCAACTGCAGGTCACCTTACCAATTTATAAGCAACATCATGTTCACCACACATGCATACTGTGCACATATTCTGAATTCATAGCTGTGTGTCCAATATGCTTATTAAAATATGCTTTGTTCAAAATCAAACTTGTGATGATTAAGAAATGAAGGCAAGTAAAATGAGCAAATAAAATGTATCCAACTTTAGCAGTGTCTTTCAATGAGAAACAGAGAGGCCGAAAACTTTGGAAAGTACCCAATATGCACAATTTGTATGTCAGCTGGACACACACAATTAAAACTGCCAGGCATTTCTTGATATTAAAAGGGTGTGTCTTATATCCTATTTGATCAACATCTAAGGTAAGTGTGCGTTGCAGATCATAATGTAATACTGAACTAATAACTGATAAGATAACATAATTGCCCATGGCACTGCATCTGTAGGAGTGTGGTGAACACAGAAATGTATATGAAGTTTAAATAAAATGTGACTCTTCCTCCATAAAAAGCTCCTGAGAGGGATTCTTTCCAGTTACTGACTAAAAGTGAAGAGGCAACATCCTCACATGGAAGACAGTGAGTAATACTGATGGCATGTCAGGGAAATAGCCTTGTCAAAGAACCCAAAAGGAAACTTAGGATCTACAGCGAGTATAATGAACTCAACAGCTGCACCCACTGAGAGACAAAACTGCTCTTAGTTGTGCATAAGCTAAGGCAGTACTAAAATCTCCTCCAAACCTAAGCCTGATCTCCAAATCTTGGAGTATGTGCATGTTAAGAATAGAGTATGTTAAATGGACATGGCTGTGTGCGAAGAGTTAAACAGAGCATACAAAAATAGGCTTCCCAGAAAAAGGGTATGTACTAACAGCACTATGCAGAGTTCTGCAGAGATACCCACACTAGTTCTGAACAAGCCAGCTCAAGTACTGGAAACCGCGTAGCAGCAAGCTGTACGAGGTTCTTTTCTGAACGTTCAATTTGACTAAGCTGTGGAGGAGCTTTGTTTCAAGAGGAGGAGCCTCCAAGACCCCCAGCATGCCCGACAATGAAAATGGGGACAGCAAAATGAGAAGACTGCATGCAGGATACTGACATTTCACTGACATCATTGGTTCAAATCTCAGCTTTGTAATGAATACAGTTTATTAACCACATCTGAATGGCTGAGCAGCAACTTACACAAAATGTACTTACTGGATCTGAGTACCTGTCCTCGGGAATGCTCAAAGGTATCACCAAAAAAAAAAGCTCCCCAGCTGGCATAAATGCTAGCAGAGATAGACACCAAATATCCCTGTCACTTGGAAATACTTCCTCTAAATACAGGTTAGAAGTGCAAGTAGGGTGCTTAAGCATCCACCAATGTTACATACTCTCCAGACAGAAGAGTTGTTTCTGTGAAGAACACCTGCCAAAACACAGATGCTATGATCATAAATTGGAAGCACTGATTCATCACTGGACATCCAGACCTCTTCCTAGTTTGATATCAAAGACTGCATGTATCAAGAACATTCATTAACGAAGAAAAGCTGCATGCTCAAAGGAGAAAAGTCAGATCCCCCCTCATGTAGATGCTTGAACAGAACGCCTGAGAGTAACAAACAAGTCCCTCTTGTCTCTTGTTAGCATAAACAAAAGAGCAAATTATTAAGCACAGATGCTGGAATTAATCCAAGCATTGCATGATATTTATTGGATTCAGAGTCACTACTTGATGTGCTGCTGCAAGGAACCTGCTAATGCAGGTATTGCATAGCAAGGCACAAAAGAGCACAGCACTTTAATGTTCCCAAATAAGGTCAATAATCTGTATACAAGCTAATTATTCATAGCTCACAAGTTGTGGAAAAATGTTTTCATGGGTACAGCAGAAGTGAAGCACAAAAACTAGGTTAGTATTTGTTGTAGAATGGGTTGGTGGAATGGAAGTCTCAAAGATGGCTTGAAAGCTTGCTGGATCCACCTGAGCAGACTGTGATCCTCTACTGGTCACAGCCAAGAGGGTAAGGTATACCCCTGGACTGGCTGGTAAAGGAGCCAGTCAACACAGTCTCTTAATGAAACACCCCCACCAGAAAACAAATCCATAAGAAACATGGATTATTTCTTTGGTAAGCTTAATGGAAAACAGAGAAAAAAATCACCATCATGCATGATAGATCCACCAAGTTTAGCCACTTGTGTTGACCAATGAATGGCTAAGTCCTTAACTAATCCTTGTTATACATAAAAGATCTTAATGTGCTTTTGGGCGCTGAAGTCTAAGTGCCTTCTCACCAAGATCAGAATAGGCTACATTTTGCAAAAACCAAACATGCCTGGTTAAAGCATGTAAAGCTGACAAATATGTGCCAAGATGCATAAAAAATAGACTCAGAGCTTGGAGTTTCATATACTACTTTACAGCTATTTTTGTCAAAAGCAGTATGGAAATAGAAGTACTTGATGACCATTAATCCTGAACCATACTTGCAAGGCAATCATTTGTCCTTTGTAAGTCATTAAAAGCCTTGTCAAACTTCTAAGATCCAAGCTTTTGGTCCTTACTACCCTAAGTCACTTCCTCTGGAAGCAGCAATGCTTCCCCTCTACGAGTAACAACTGCCCCTAACAAAGCTGTGCTCAGAACTGGAGAGAAAGGACTAGCGATTGGCTATGGTTCTCTCCTGGCTCTGTACCCAGTTTGCAAGGAGCTTCTGATAAGTCTCAGTGAAGAAGCTTTGAAACAGTCACCCTCCCTTCAAGAAATCTACCACTAGAGCAGGTCACCTCAGTGTGGAGACAAAGGACTGAATGGCCTGGAGACAGAAATACCCTTTTGTACTCAGCAATATCATTCTCTCCAGGACAGCGGTGAGATGTGGTCAGAGTAATGCAAGCTTGTTCACAGGGCTGCTGTTGGCATCTGTTCTGCAGAGAGCTTAAGACTGCATTTTGTGAGCCTGTTAGTCAGAAATCTTTCACATGGAGAAAAGTCACTGCATAAATAAAGTAGGGAACCTCAGCATAGCAACTGCCTAAGTAGTTCTGACTCTCTAAATCCCTCCTGTTACCTGTAGCTTTTTTTTTTTTAAATCACAGAACATCTTTGAATGAAAATGCCTTTTTCATGCCCCTCTCCATTTATGTTGCATAATTCCCAAAACAGCCTACAAAAGGAGCTCCTTTTAAGATGTGGTCCACAGAGGATTTGTTGGCTGGTAAACTGGTAATGGTAGTTCTCTTGGTTTCCAAATGCTAAATTTTATTACAAGACTCTTAAAGGCACATTCAATACTTTTTGAACTTTGCAACCTTATGTAAGAAATTGCTATAGCTGTCACAGTGTAGTATGTAACAGTGAACGTTGGTAGAGAGCAGGAATGTGAGTGAGGGGGAAGAGAAGACAAGGTTCTTTGGGTAAATCTGATATCTTTTATTAGGCCAACTTAAATCATTGGAAAAATTCTTCTTAGCGAGCTTTTGAGCACAAACACCCTTCATCAGGCTGCGGAAGCATCTGCAGATGGTCTGTGCCCTTCCTGGATGGAGTGGTTAAGCAGCCAGAGGCCATTACATATGGAGGAGAAGAAGAGAAGAGGCATTCTGCACATTAACAAATAGGAAGAGAGAGAATCCCTCATTCTGCATATGGTCCATACTACTAAATATTCAATGAATGAATGTCCTGTCCACTAGTTGGGTAAGGAAGATGAACACTGCAGCATGGGCTTCCCTGACTGATTTGACCATTTCTATCTTTGAAAGAATTTTCTGAAAAAAATTAAAGTGTGTGTGTGAAAACCCCATCCAAATACAATGCACCAAACAAAAGGCACAAAACAGCAAAGCAACATTACGGTTTTGTTTTGGTCCAACATTCTTGTTTGTTCATAACAAAAGATTAGGCAATGACAGTGGTTGGGATTGCTGGTACTGAGCCTATCATATCATTTCATTGTCTTATGCCCCCCATCTGTTGTTATCTTTCATCATATACATGGACTGCAAGCTCTTAGGAGATGCATCAGGTTTTGTTGTGTGCTTGTACAGCACCTAGCACCATATGGCTTTAATCCCTGAGAATGCATCTACGTGCTATCAAATGCAAACAACAGAACCACAGTAATGAATGGTATCACTCCTCCCCATGTCAGCCAGTCTGGCACTGCTACCTAACTGATCCAGTTGTTGCGACACAGGAGCTTAACATCCTGCTAAGCTCCTCCTACATAAAGGAGAAGTTATTAAGAAAAACAATTCTCCTGAAGTACCCAGTGCTCAAACCTATGGCCACTGTGTTGTTAGAGATTATTTCAGTGTTTCTAGAAAAATGGGACGGAAAATGATGATAAGAACTAGGACAAGGAACCAACATTATCAAGAAATTTGAGCATGCCACTTTCACAGCACAAACAGCAGCAGCCAGATGCACGGTAGGAAATCTTGTAGATGCTTCTACGGCAAACTGCATGGAGCAGTATATTTTACTTTCACAAACTCCATCCCTGGGCCTTAAATATTAGTGCACGGTAGTGCCACCTTGTGGCTCAGCCATCACTGCTCTGTGGAATAAAACTATCTCAGGGGAGGGAAGAGTTATCAAGATGGCTGCCTCTGGAAATACTTGTGTATGTGTGTGTGTGTGTGTGTGTGTGCGTGTGTGTGCGCATGTGTTTTTCCACTCCCCACTGCTGGCTGCTGCCCTGCTTGAGCTGTATGGTTTCTAAATCACTAACAATATGGCCTCCAGAGAAACCTACTGGAGAGAGCAGATAACAGTGGCAACAAGGGTGAATAAGAGTTATAAACTAAGCACATACCATATCAGTCATGCCACAGAATTCATCCAGCCTTATTAGCATCTCTTCTATAGTTTCTTCTACTTCTTTCACCTGGAAAAATGCATATATTAGTTTAGTTGCTTCTGTAAATTTAAGGCAGAAGACTGCTCAGAACAAAATACTGGCGAGTTAAATTCTGTTTTGATGAAAACTGCATTGATCAAAAGCTGAGTTTGAGAATGAGTGGAAATATTTTGATTTCAAATTATCCATATCACCTCGTGCATTGTTCTTTGCAACTCACATATAGAATCTAGACCAATCTGAGGAATTTGTAAGCAACTGTAATGTTGCGACTGCAAAAGTTCAAAATACATGAGTCAGATGCCCAAAACAGAGGTTAAAAAACCCCAAAGGGTAAATGTTTAGGTTCTGTTTATTTGCCTTCTAGTTTTTGAAGACATTTATGTTTTCAAGGTTTTCTCTGCAACTACGAAGACTAGAAATGTACCTATCCTTTTAAATTAGTGGTAAGATTTTTTCCATATCAAAACAAAATTCCATATGTGGAACTTCTCAAAAAGACCAAAAATGACAAGACTTGAAATACAAATCCTGAGAATTAGCGTGCTGCAGCACCGTCCAATTCTTCTGCAAGCCTGGCCTTTTCTCATTGTGCTACTGCCCAAGATCTCTCTCACTATAATGCACCTTTGTTTGCACAAAAGGTGTTCTAGGTCCAGATTTTCAGCAAATTCTCCATAGTCTGACTGCAGTACCAGTGAGATATCTGACTGACTAATGGGGGTTTGCCCACAAAAGGCTCATCACTGGACAGGAACTTTATTGACTAGAAGCTCCATCTATCTTTCAAAGACAGAGCAAATTGCTCCATTTTAAAACCGTAATTGGAACTTGGGATATAAATGCTGAAGTGCTATTAAACTCAAAACACAAGTCACAACCCACTTTATTTACTGATGGAAAAGGATTTTTTAAAAATACATTAAAAGAACTGAGCAGTATATGCCTAGAAGGAAACTCCTTGTGCAAATTATAGCAGAAGAAAAAAAAATGAAGAAAAAAACCAGAATGGCTGTTTGGGATGGTTGCTTTTTTTGTTTTCTGATACATTTATTAAGAATGGAACAAAAAAAATCAAATACCCTGCAGAGCTCTCAAGAGAACAGCTGAATGTATGGTTGCCTGACACCAAAGCATCCACTGTTTCCATAGAGAGAAAACATGCTGGATTGCTGCTATTTATATTAAATCTGGCGGCCAAGAGCTACAATCCTAGAAGATCTAATATGTTGCACCTCCCTGTTGAGAGCAGAAGTGTTCTGGGCCACATTCAAAAAACCAAACTGAATAATTGGTGTATTATAAATGTGAGATTATAATCAGGAAAAATATATATGCACTGTAATTAGTCCTTCAGATTTAACCATTTTTTTAACCTTAGATCTAACCTTCTGCCTATTTGCTGGTTTGCCACGAGAAGTTTTTAACTTGGACTTGGTTCCCCCACACACATTACAACATGAAAATAATGCATACTAAGAAAAGTTGAAAATGGTTTTAAAGGCCAAAGGGAAATTAGACTGTTTTTTATGGATAGTTTGCTTACATTTTCATTGAGACCTTTTAGGAAGTGGAATGAGAGTGTATCTAAGCAGCAACCTTTGTCCCCATCTCATCCTGAGAACTGGTTCCGTTTTTACACTAAAATGACTATAATTTTGCCTAAATAATGCAAGATTAATCTAAGTAACCATCAATATGAGCTTCACACTGTGTAGGTGACAATACAGCAGTCTGTTCATTGCAGTACTCCTTGCTGCACTCCAAAAATCGTAAGTGTCCTCATAATATAGATAAAACAATCCCTGCCCAAAGGATATGACATGCTAATATCAGCAATAAGATAGTAAAGGACAGGTACAAGACAGAAGAGAGGGAGTTGGAGAGAAAAAGTGAGATAAATAGCCTTCTTAGTGAAGGATTTAGTGCACAGCATGGTAAAGTACAGCTTTCTGATTTTGTTACCAATATATGATACAGCAGTTTGAACTCCGTGCAGTGGGGAAGAAAGTGCCAAGGAAAAGAAGTGATGAGGACTGGGCAACATACAAGGAAGATAAACTTAGTCCAGACCACCTCAGGAGACACAGGACCAGTCAGTTTTCACCAAATAGCAGACAACTACATATGCACCGTAGGTGACTTGTGGCAAACACACTCCAATTCAAAAGAAAAACAACTACCATACATAGATAGTTGTATTGCCTTATTCAAGGCAAAGCCAGCGCAATCAGGAAAAAATAAGTATTTTCTGTGAGGGGTCACCTGTGACTTGGGAGCTGTGGTCTGAATAGTCTTGGAGTCTGTGTTCTAAGTGGACTGAAGGTGGACATAGTGCCATTCAATTCATAATCCAGATTTATTTTATAAAAACACATTTCATGTAAACATTACAACCAAAGCGCTCCATAGAGAGAGACTCAACATTTGAGAAGAAGAAAGGGCTTTGGAGGCACTGGAACACCTCACAGCTGAGATCTGTAGTGAAACAGAGTAAAGTTGAAGAGGTAGGATGGGAGGTTGCACAGGAGATCTCCTGCACCAACAGTAATAGGACTATGTTGAGGGAAGAGGGATAACTTCACACCACAAATGTGGGGAGGAGAAGCTGAGGAAAGACAGAAGCCGCACAAAAGAAAGATCTACACATGCAGCACTTCAGATTGGGGCTTGGCACCAGCAGATGGGGATACTGGAAGAAGGTGGGAAAGGGACCACATACATTTAGTGGGACAATACCTCCATGCAAATGGTGGCAATGAGTTCCATGGACTTCTTGTAGATTGAGATGGGACTGGATTCTATCCCCTCCTAAACCACCATGGCTTGGAGGGGAAGAGGGGGGCTGCACTTCATCCTTAGAAAGCAAAGCAGATTGCTGTTGTTCAATGTACTTGTAAATGAAGAGTTTTCCTGGAATTCAGCTTAACAGGGATAGAAAGCCTGATTCCTATAGACTGAAGTCAATATTTAGGCAGCAGCACCTCACCACTTTAAAGACAGGATGATACACTTCTGTTCGTTTAACAGCAGCCAATGGTGGCATGCTCTGAATTACAGACCTTAATCCCACTCGTACTAAATACTAAAGCATGTAAAGTACGTTGATTCACTATGGCTGGAGCTTCTAGACGCTACAATATAATAGCAGTACTACTGTAGTAGTTCTCAAGCTTTTCCATAACAGGCCCCCTCCAATTTAGCAACAGAGGAAGAACAAGGCCTTAAATTCATGGAATGGTTTTGCAGCAGGCTGCAAGAAAAGATTTGTTAGTTCACTTTCTATGATTAAGGAAGGAGACGACAGTCTGAATGGAATGCAAGGACAAGGGACAGCTGAGGAGGAAGGAAAAGTTCAAGGTAGTAATTCAAAGGCCATCATGGGTAAAACCAAAAAAAAAATCACAAAATGGCAGCAGGGACAGTAGGACAAGAGGGAAAGGAGGCAGCAAGCACATGAAAGCAGGAAATAAAAGATGGAGCTTTCACAGCACCACCAGAATAACTATTATAGCAGCACGGCCATAATAACGTACATCATAATAAGCAGCAGCAGGACTAAATCAATCTATAAAATATATACAATCATGATAAATAATTTGCACCTCAGTGGTATCTCACTTGTTAGGAATGTTAAGGGATTAAGCTTCAAACCCAATCTCCATTTTACAGATGGAGGAACTGAACCACTGAGAATTGGGGTACCTTGCCTTAAGATCACCCATTCACCTGGTAGAAGATAACTCATACCTCTGAAAGGCATTAATGCCTACACCTATTCAGTTGTGTCCCAGGCTATGTAATATGATACATACAAAGTAGTACAGATTCCAGGTCAGATGCTTTATGCCAGTGAGTTAAAAACTCTGTAGCTTTATCTCAGTGAGGTAAATTTCATAAACAGTAAAGATGAATGAATGGCTTTTGAAAAGAGATAGAATCTTTGCTTAGCTTACATTTTTAGATTCCCAAGTCTCTTCTCATGAACATCAGTAACTGCAATGGGATCAAGCCCAGACCCAAAGACATTCAATGACAAGAGAAGATAAGTCCCTTGGTGGCATAAAGAGAGAGGGTAAATAGCAATCAAGGAGGGCAAGCACTGTGAAGGTTCCAAACCAGCTTGATTTTTAAGGTACTATTTAAGGAAAGGCTGAGGCTCAAAATTCTCACTAAATTTGATACACTCTGGGTGCGTCTACATGTGCCATTAATGCACAGCAATAAGCTCCGGAGTTTATTGCTCCCAGGAAGCTCCTGGGTTTTCTGGTTACATGTGCACCCAGACTGCAGCACATTGAGCTGGGTTGGAACAACCCTGGCTGGCAGGGGAGGTCAGCCTGTCAGCCTGGGGTTGCTCCAACCAAGCTCAACAGGTACCTACACGCATGCCTGACGCCTGCACCAATGAGAGCTAATTAGCATGTGACAGAGCAGACACGATTAATTGAGTCTGGTGGAACATGCCAATTAGCACGCTCTAGCCCAGTGTTTCTCAACCTGTGGTACACATACCCCTGGGGGTACGAGACACGGGCAGCAGGTACGCGGGTGCTGTGTTTTGGTCTTTGCCTGCTCAGGCCGGAAGTTCTGGCTGCCGCCCCTCCCACCGTGTCCGGAGCACCAGGGCTTTCACTCCCCAGCATCAGTGTGCTGGGGGATAAGGAGGGAGGCCCTGTGCAGGCTGCTTTGCCCCGGGCTGTGGTGGAAAAAGTGGGACTTGGCTCACTGCAGCAAAATCAGAAGTGCCACGGTGGGACTTCCAGTTTCACTTTTGCCGCGTCGGGTATGTAAGGTACCAAAGGTTGAGAACCACTGCTCTAGCCACCTCACCATCACATGTATTCAGCATTGCTGTGCTTCAAAATGGCAGCAAGGGCCATCAAGCAGGGGGCATTTTGAAGTGCAGGATGATAAATACGTGAGACGCTGCAAGCACTTCAATTAAAGCGGCTCTTGAGAGCTGCTCTAATTAAATCGCCTCTGACCCCCACCTCAGAGCACGTGTATAGACGCCCAATGTACTG